CATTTCGATCATGGATTACAAAAAATTCGATCATGGATTACAAAAAATTCTATCATAGGGTTACAAAAAAAAAAAAACAAAAAATTCGATCATGGATTACAAAAAATAAAACAATTCGATCATGGATTACAAAAAAATCGATCAAGTATTACAAAAAAAAAAAAATTCCGACCGGGACTCGCCGATTCCGTACAGTGAATCGGCGAGTCACTGTACAGAATCGTTCGGTTCTCTCTAGAACCGGACGATTCCCGTTTTTTTCGCCGATTCGATCCTTCCATGGCGATTCCCGAGTCGAATCGGGCGAGTCCGGTTCGACTCGCCGTTTTTTTAAACACTGCTCTATGTTATTACGGTAATTAAAGTACCGTAATTATGGTACTAGAAGTACAGTAATTCTATCTCTATTTACAACTGTATTTTAATTGCCGCAATGGTCACAAAAAGACCACCATAAAGGGTATTTTCGTCCAGAAATTGCTAAAAATTGAGAAAAAATGTGTGGGCGAAGTTTGAGGAAGTTGGGGTTTTTTTTTTGAGATTTTCTTAAAATTAAGGTCTATTAACAATAATTTCCCTAAATTAAATTAAATCAAATGGGCTGAAAATAATACTTAAATATTCCCTTTTCAAATTTTGAATTCAAATTGAAAACCTTGAATGCTGTAAATCTCCTCTATTCTCACGATCTCCTTCCTTCTTGCTTTACAGGATATCAAGCCTCTAACATTCTCTCTACAACGATAAAGGGCTTTCTCTCTCTCTCTATGACCACCAGAGGCGCTCTCTCTGACCATCGAATGATCTTCTAGCTGGGACTGCGCCTCTCTCTCATTTCTATTTTTTTTCTCTTATTATATGTAGGGAGCAGCAAGATGCTTGTTTGAGTATGCAACTAGCCTACAAATAGATCAACGGACCTATGAAGATCGAAGAACTTTCGGCACCTGCAAATCAAAAACAGCTCGAACCCTCTTTCCTTCTCAATCCCAATTAAAGCTGAAATCTTCTCTCCATCTCAATCCCCATCAAGATTGCAGGAAATGAATCCCCAATTCAAATCAGGTTTGGGATTTTTTGAATTGTAGATTTTTAGCTTTTAAATTTAAAAAGTATGGATTTTCCAAAGGAAATCAATTTAATTCTCTAAAATTAGAATAAGATCTGTCTTCTTTAGGAATTTTTTATTTTTTTAGCTTCTTGGGTTTTTAGTTTCTTTTATTAGATAATTTTTTCAATTGCTATCTCTCACTGTTTTCCTTATAATTTCTCTCATGTTTCTTAGTTTATTAAGCTTTTTATTTCTTGGATAAAATGCTTCTAACCAGAGCTTCAAGTTAGCTGACAACTTGAATTTTATTTCAGAACAAGGTCCAAAGATTTAGACTTTTCTATGCTACTTAGCAAAGAAGACAATAAAAATTGCAACTATATATACTTCCCCGCATTTCTTCAACTTACAAAATCTCTTGGAAATCAGTCTATAATCGGCACATTATTACTTGACTTTTTGTTCGATCACTGAATAATAATTTGAGGGTACTTAATTATTATTATTGAAACTGATTTTTTGATATAAATATAGCTCCTGCCTCAAATATCTTTCTCCACACGAAAATGTGGGTCTAATTTAGCAAAAGTTTCCTAATTTATGTTTTTCTTATAGGTTAAAAAACTTAATTAATTTTCTAGCTATGATTTTTCTCTCAATATATAAAATTGCAATTCTTGTTTAAACGATTGATTGATGATTTCAGTGGCTTCTACCAAAATAATGAAACTGTAAGTGATTAATTGAACTGAGGATTGGTGCGGCTTCGCTCATGGCTCGCTCAGTGCTTACGCACTTCGTTTCCTTTCCTATTAGGCTCATTTTATAGAACTGCACTCGTTTAGACTGCTTACGCACTTCGTTTCTTTTCCTATTAGGCTCATTTCATAGAACTGCACTCGTTTAGACGTAACTTGGGCCTAACAAACTAGTTTTCGTACTTTTGATATGAGTTTGCAAGAACTACACCTAAGCTCGATGTTGTATTACTCTCTTTAATAATTTGTATATAATAGTGTTTATGTAACTATTATTTTCTTGTTTCACTCTTTGTATTAATTTTAGGTTATCCTTATTTAACTTCTTTTTGTATTTTAATTATATTTGTCAGTATGTGCATGTTTCTATCAACTGTATGTTTTGGCAGTGTCGTACTAACAACTTTATTTGTACAAGACCATAACTCAATATTTCTTCTATCTGAGAAATTTTGACTTGAGTATGAGACTGACTGGAAGCGACATGGGCAAGTTATTTTGAATCATATCCTTGTGATATAACTTTCCTTTTAGTTCTTCTACAGTTTGATGCCTTTGATTCTTTTGTACACTTAGATGAAGTTTATGTCCTTATATGTATCTTTCATCAACTGCTGACAAATGGTCTATTTGTTACACTTGTTCTATAGTAGACCAATATGTGTTATTTTCTTCCTTTTCAGAAGTTATGATGAATTTCACTCTAAATTAGTCTCCTCTGGAATATAAAAGGGCTGATTGTTGCAAGCTTGTAGAACATTGTCAACTATGTTCAGGCAGTTAACAACCGCCAATTTGATTTTGAGAATTAGTTACCAAGAATCAATTGGTGACTGAAGTAGTATTACTTTTAATTTAAGTATTTGAAAGCAAAAACACAGGTTATGGGAGGCAAGCAATCCACAAGCCCGCGAAGGCAATAATCGTCACTGTTTGGTTGTGCATCTTCCTCGTCATGGGGTTCTATGGAGTCTAATAAAGAAATATGATTGGAAACTCAGAGGGATAGTCATAATCGACACAAAGGAGTTGAGCCCCAAATTAGACATCTACATCAAATCTGATGGCTACACCAACTACTCTCTAGATACTAATTTATAGCATGCAAATAATCACACCAGTTGTAATTGGTTTGAGAGTTCATTGGAGTTGAAGTTCATTGTAATTAGATTATCCAATATTTTACAATTTCAATACCATATTTGTACTCTGTTTCCCAGACTTTGAGAAACTGATCAAGGTCCCATAGTTTTGATATGACATCGGATGCTACAATTGAATAACTAACTCTCTATTAGTAAACTCGTGATTCTAACAACTTTGTCATGTCAATAGATTCATTTTGATTACACATGATTGCTACTCACTAAGTGTTGGCTGACACTGTTCTTACGTGCTTTCTTTCA